TCACGTGAAAAAAGACCTGGTGTTTGTTCGCTGTCTTCACTGCAGGCTTGATGAGCCTTTGCCATGGAAGCGCTCTCGAAGAAATTGGAGGTGCGTGGGAAGATCAAGAAAGCTTGCAAAACAGGGATTTTGGAGTTGTCCTTTCAACAATCCCATTTGGGCACCTTTGTCCTCATCCAATGCCGGGTCCGAAGGGTCGAGAAGTTGAGGTTTCCTGGATGAAAGGGGGTAGCTTGAACGTGTTGAGACTTCGGCCATTTTGGGAATGCGAAGATCCCTGGCCTAGATAGTGCTACCGTGCGCAGTACAGACTCATTTTCAGGTGAAGAGAGTGATTTCTGCGAGACCATTGACACTTGGACGGCGGTTGAGCATTTACCTTATGCATGTGTTATTGCGTTGAAAGTTGACCAAGGTATATTTGTTGAATTAGCAAACGCCTCCATGACACGAGCTCAGGATGCAGCCGGCTTGAGCAACCTGACCCAGGCCCATTTGAAAGAGTGTGCAGAGGCCCGATTCTAAGAAAGCTACAAAAGGTATCAAAGAGTGAAGCAATGACATGGCCTGATGCAAGGTGCTGCGATTCAATCGTGTAGAAGTCTTACTTCACATGATTCAGCTCCTTGGCTTGCGCGGCTATCGCCAATCCTTACCATCAATGCTTAAGCTAAGTTGCCCGAAATAATTGGAGGGAGTTTCTCGTTGAACATTTTGAATGTCTTGAAGAACACTGAAGAACACTGTGTATGTGGAGTCCAATTTGGATCCAGAAAGGACCCACCGTAGTGGCCTGAAAAAGGGGCCATCACCTTCTTGACGCTGAGGTCTTTGATCACACACAACCTCGACATTGGGATCTTGAAGCCTGGCTGCGACATGCTCCTAGTAGTAATGCCCTTGTTACTAGTAGCGATGCCCTTTGTTGCTAGTAGCGATGGCCTTTGTTACTAGTAGCTCCTTGTTCCTTGCCTTTTTGTTTGAGTTGTTTCTTTTTGCGGTGTCATTATGGGCACTCTACTCGACGTTTCTCTTGCAAATTTCCACGTGAACGCTGAGGAAGGTCCAACCTCCCATTCTGTCTCGAGTCTACCAGACCCTCTCTAGAGGATTTGTGAATCTTTTGAACGCCAAAAAGATTGCGGACACGAGGCAGACGTTTTGTGTGACCGATGTTTGCTCGCCTTTGGTAAGGGGTTCACGAATCTGAGTCTGAACTGCAGTAGATTGGAGGGGCTCAAATTCTTTTTCGCTTTGGTGATGCTTTTCAACCTTACTATGACTCATGTACAGACTCACTAGGCTCAGCATTGTTTGAAGTGACCACTTGTTTTTCTCCAGGTTTCCATTTCCATTTTCGCAGCTCATCAGCGCCCTCCTGCCTTGCCTCAGTGGGATTGAATGACGAGCACGAGGTTCTGCACGTTGCTGGTTGCTTTGGAATCCAGATCAAGAGTCCTGCGACCACACAACTGGGATATCACTGATGCCATTTACTGCCTCACACAGCCTGTGGTGATGACATGTGGGTGTGCTGCCCAAGCAGTGCTCCTACAAAATTGAGGAGCTTGAAAGAATTTAATACAGCTTCCGTATACTGTATATATATATATTATATGTATGTATATGTATTCTAAAAACAGGCTGATTTCATTTCAGTGTAAATGAAATGTTCAAAAGCAGCCCTATATCGATATCCTTCTTGGCCAGAAAAGGATCAGAAAGCAACTCCGAAAGATAGGGCCAACCGATAGGGCCAACCAAAAAGGGTTTGTGGCATTATTGATGACACACCAGAAGTTTTTGCCCGCCAGTCATTTGGCCATGGCACCATCGTCGGGATGCCGCAAGAGGTATCCAATCCAGGGACCTCACATTGGGTGCAGCCAGCCAGCGGAGCCTTGTATGAGCTGGCGCAGAAGTTGAGCGAGAAGGTGGCGAAGCTTGAAGAGGAGCTTCTTCTTGTGCAGGAAGAACGCGACACGTTAAGAGTTGAGAATGATGTCTTGACAGAGCAAATCCAACGTTTACAACGACAGCGGGCTGAAGAGGCCGAAAGTTTGCACAGGCAGCGGGCTGAAGAGGTTCAAAGTCTGCACCAGCAGCGGGGCGCGGAGGTCCATGCCTTGCATCAGAAACGCGGTGAAGAGGTTGAAGCCTTGCAGAAGCAGGTGGAGGCTTTGCACAAAGTTCGGGCTGAAGAAGCCAATGCCTTGCATCAAAAGCGCGGCGAAGAGGTGGCAGCTGTACATTTGACCCGGGGTGAACAGATCAAAGCTCTTAAACAAGAGCATGCGCAACAGGTTGAAAAGATGCACGTGAAGCGCGGCGAAGAGGTGGACGCATTAGGGCGAGAGCATGCAAAGCAGATCAAAGCTCTCAAGCGCGAACAAGCCCAAGAGGTTGCAGCCGTGCATTCAAAGCGGGGTCAGCAGATCAAAGCTGTGAAACAAGAGAAGGGCGAGCAGGTTGAAGCCTTGCAGAAGCAGGTGGAGGCTTTGCACAAAGTTAGGGTCGAAGAGGTCCAAGCCTTGCATCAAAAGCACGGCGAAGAGGTGGCAGCTGTTCATTTGACGCGAGGTGAGCAGGTGAAGGCTCTGAAACAAGAGCATGCTCAACAGGTCCAAGCGTTGCAGAAGCAGATGGAGGCTTTGCATTATCATCGGGCTGAAGAGCTTCACACATTGCATCAGCAGCGCGGTGAAGAGGTTGCAGCTGTACATTTGAAGCGCGGTGAGGAGATCACTGCTCTCAAACGAGAGCGCTCTGAGCAGGCTCAACAAATCAAAGTCTTGCAAGATCGCTTGCAAGCACTGCAAGAGGAGAACCAATTGGTGCATGAAACGGGCCGCCACCATAGCTGGGAAAAGACCTGCTTGGCGCACGCTCACGAAGGCAAAACCAACGAGGTGAAGGCTTTGAGCAAAAAGCTGGAGGCTGCTGTTAGTGAAAACGTCCATCTTCGATCTGCCGTGGAGTCTCTCAAGTCCAAAAAGGCACAGATGGAACATACCGCTCGAGGCTTGGAGGCCAACATGGCCACGCTCCAGGCTGATTTAAAGCTTCGAGTCAGCAACCAGGCAGCTGTGGAAGAGGCCCTTCAAGCTTTGAGGCACCAGCTGGAGCAAGCCACGGCTGACAAGGCAAAAGCAGAGAGCATGATCAGCAATCAGCATGTCGAGATCATAACTCTGCAGAAGCTCCACGCGGACATGCAGGCTGAGAAGGCCCACAGCCAATCTTTGGTGCAGAAGTTGGAAAGCTCTGATGCAATGTTGCACAAAGCCCAGCAGGAAAAAGAGGAGCTGGAACAAATGGTGAGCTCGCTCCACACAGAATGCGCCAAAGTGCGCACTCAGCATGATTCCACGATGACGGAGGTGCCCCACATGAAAGCTTCACTTGTGCATCAGGAAGAGCTCCTGAAGGAGCAGGAAGTGCAGGTTTCAACTTTGCAGAACAAGCTAAAGAGCCTCCACAACACAAATGGTGCATTGGACAAAGAGGCCAAGCACCTGTCATACACTCTCCAGAGAATGCAGGAGGAGAAATGGCAGACGGAACAGGCTATGGCATCTCTTCGATCTGAGCGGCAACAGCTGGTTGAGGCGTTGGAAAGACTTCGGCACAGCAAGGCAGAATGCAATGCCCAGCTCAGCTCCGCAACCAGTGAGAGCAACCTCTTGCAGGCACGGTGTCAACAAATCCATTCTGAAAAAGAGCAGCTGCAATTGCGGCTGCATGCAGCCACCTCCGAAGCGGCTTCTTTGAGGACCAGATTGGCTGGCGCAGAGAAGATGGTCAAAGACTATGGAAACGAAGTTGTGGCTCTTCAGCAAAAGGTGGCTTCTCTGGAAGAATCACTTGTGAAGGCCGAGAAGGCAGAGAAAGTGGAGAAGGCTTCGAGGTTTGACTCGAAGTCGCTTGCGCCAACAGCTGGGGCGTTGTAATAAAGCGGGCGATCATATCCTGCTGGGGCACTTGTGTTTTCAAGGGTCACAACAAGGAGAAAAGATACGATACGGACATCCCAAGCCACTGCCGTCGATGCTGAGGTTTGTTCATGTTGTTTTGGCCTCAATGAGCGCTTTTGCTTGAACCTTCTACAAAGCAGCTTTAGTCAATGCCGAATATTCCAAGTGATCAGACACCTAGGCCTAGGCACATAGTAGACCCAGGTCATGCTTCCAGTCTTGCTTTCTGCGGTTATCTCAGAAGCCCCTAGCTCAGCAATCAGTTGGGATTGAAACTCAAGTTTGCACTCTACACTTTTTGTGTATGCATAGCCAAACACCCTTGTGGAACATGAGTGAGTCGTTCCCTAAAGTGCCGTGAACCACTCAAGTATTGTGACAACACTCATGGTACGGGAGTGTTGTGCACACATGGCATCTGCATTTGGGATCTCTCCATGGAGTGTGTGTCAACTCTCCCTGCAACACTTCTGAGGTTTGGCTTGCCATGACTCTAACGTTTATTCCAATTTTCTCGATGCTGGGGCCTGAGGGTCCTTAGAGAGGAGGGAACCGCGGTGCACTCCTATGGCCTCGAGATTGCTTGCCAGGTGCTGCCTCAACTACATTGGAGTTGAGCTTGAGAACCCTTTTGGGCGAGATGATAACGACCTTCCGTTGAAACATTTTCAAGTGCCCCCCTGCCCTGAAACGCTTGGCTTGTGGACCAGCTGCATCTCCAATTTGCAGCTTGACACGCTTGCCAGACCACCCTCACATGAGATCATCCCTCAGCCATTTCTTCCAGACAGTATGCTGCATGAGCTTGGGATTTAGTCAGATCAAATATGATCAAATGCTGCCTGAGTGGAATGCACAACGTCGCTCCTGGGTCTCCATCAAACATGTCGCAGTTGTCCTGGTCAAGATATTTTTGACAGCCCTTGCGGTTCAATTAGCTTTGTTCAAGGTAGTGCCAAAACAACTCCGTTGGCACCATTGGCACCTCTCATCATGACAAAAAGATAAGTATCGCTTGGCATTGACACGCAAAGGAGTTCCTTCAGCAAAGAGAGCCATGCTTGAATGTCCCATTTGCCTTGGCAATGTGGAAGACTCTAAGCTTTAGAGGTTTAGTGGCTTTGTTATGCTTTGTTTGGATTCTACCGTCCTGATTTCAACAAAAGGTATGCCGTTAAACCTGCTCGAACACTGTTCGCAAACAGCGGGTTACAAAAGGTCGTCATGCTCTTGTAGGGATTGGTTGATTTCACATAGTGTGAAACTGAAAACACGAAATGGGCGAGTTGGCGCGAGGATCCGTGCACGGCGCCATGCAAGCACGTCTACTGTCGCGTCTCGGCAGAGCAAAGACGCGCCGGTGAAAGCGTCGATGCGTTCGCCACGCTTTCACCGCACTTTGAGGTCATTGCATCCTGCAAGTGCTGCTGAGCAGCCCACCTGAATGGGCTGGAAGCTGTCCACTTTGCCGCACACACATCAGCGCTCTTGGTGGCAAAGGGATACATCTTTTGGTACGGGCTGGACAGGGGCTTTCAGTTTTGTGGATTGCAAAGGTGTATACAACTTGCAGAAGGATGGGAAGCTCCTGATGGAACCTGAAGTGCAGTCACTTTGGGGTTGCATTTTTGTGCAGAGTGGCAAAATAGGCAGGCTGGCTCGCAAAAAGAGAACTCTCAACCTGGCAGTGGAATTGCAGCCTTTTCCAATTCTTTTTTGGACCCTGAGCTACAGTAGCAGTGTGCTCAGCTATGCTGAGCTATGATTGCTACAGCCTGCGTGAAAGGCCTTGCCAGCTATCACTTCGACTCACTAGAGGACCAGGGAGACCAAGTCTGTTCTTTTCGGTTCAAGTTTCAGTTGGAATCGCGCAGTGCACGTGGAACGTTTGAAGATGTTGCAAGATCGAGAGGATTGTTATATCTCGTATGCTGCAGCACCATCCAGCTGGCGCTCGCCTGGCACACTTTGCGGAAAGGGCGCATCCTCTCGTGAATCCTCTTTCTTTAATACACTCCTTTAATTCCACAAAAGAGCAGCTGGAAAGCTTTTCTTCTTTTTTAAGCACGTCAATGGCAGGGCTAGATGATGGCAATCCACCTCCTGAAAGAAAGTCCTGGACGGAGGTGAGCTACGACGAGGAGACACGGACCTTTCGAGGCGCAGCGACGTGCGAGCGACGCGCGGCGTTGCGTCGGGGGAAACGCGGCGATGGGCGTTGCAAGGTTGCCATCCATTGAGCGTTGCATTTGTTGGAGGACTCATCGAATGGGATCCTGCCTTTCACGGCACTCACAAGTGGGTCTACCGGATTGAGTTTTCGGAAGACTTCGCAGGAATTATAGGCGCGCGTTTCAGTGCCAGTTGCTACAGCGATCACCATTCCTTACCTTTGTTCGACAATGTCTGACAAGGTGGAGAGATCATCTCCCATTCTCAAGAAGGAACACAGATCAAGCCGTTTTTGGCTCCCTGGATCTTTGATTGGGAGAGACATCTCTCATATCTTCGATGGATGCCACCACCATCAACCATTTTTGGCTCAGTCTATGTGCAAGGCAGGCTTTGCTTGAAGTAGATTATTCCCAGAAGACTTTCTTTCCTTTGACATCTTTCACTGCTTGAATTGACATTTCTCCTGTTTTGAGGATGCTTGGATGTGAAACTCATGAAAGCCACGTGATAGATTTCTGTCAGGAGTCGCCTATGCCTCTGTGCTTGAGGGGGTTGCGAGCTATCACTTTGAGAGTCCTGAGGATTGCTACATTTCCTATGCGAATGCTCCAGAGACCTGGCGTTTGGATGATGGCTCCTTCCCCCCGAGGCAAAAGCCCTTCGAGCTGGTCTCCTATGACGAAGCCTCGCGGACCTTCAAAGGCACGGTCCGTTGGCGGGAAGGGTTTGACGGTGCGACACGCTGGGACTATACCATCGTCTTCTCGGAGGACCTGGGCCACATCTCTGGAGGCAAGGTACAGCCTTATGGCTCACTGGGTTTTCCACAGCCGCCCCAACACTATGGTGATCCGACTTTGCAACTCCCTACGCCCACTTCGATGCTGATTGGCTACTCTGAGTAATTTTTCCAACCAGCCTAGACCTATGAGCCTATGCTCAATGTTTGGTTCGTTTATGTGCATTAATACAGCTCTGTTTACCTGCTTGTGCCTTTAGATTTCTTTTGAACGCCACTTGCTTGTAGGCAGAGAAGTGACTTTAAACAAAAAGAAGTGTCTCGTCACCTCTTCAAATTATGCCAAAAGGCTCAGGGCAGAAAGTGCACCAAAAGATATGAACATGCAAAGACTCAGGTACTATGTCAGGAAGCCATCAGCCCTGGCTGCAACGGATCGATTGCGCAGTCACTTTCTCAACTCTTTGCCATCTCAACAGAACGCCCCATTTCCCGAAAGGCCGGAATTCACATCTGCGAGCGATGCAGATTCTCTTAGGAGCAATGCAGCAGATCCTGTAGCACAAGCTCAGGAAACCCAACGGGGGTGTGCAATACAGTGAGTCCCTTTGCTGCCACATGAACAGCCCATTCTTTTGTGACATCAAGTCATCAGGGCTCGCTCCAGTACGCAAGTCTTTGGCTTAAACAGCCCCGTATCCCAACATTGCGTATGCCAGCTTCTGTGGGATGCGCCGTTGGGTGTACAAAGTGTCGCATGGTGAGATGACCATGTACTTTTCTTTCCTGTGCCCTGCACAGCCTCGTCAGAGACCCCATGTAAAAAGTGCCAGATAGCAGATATGTTGCTGAGCCGCATCAGGTATCGTATGGTAAATTGATGTTGCAAGGCTTGCTTTACATGACTCCCAACGCAGGCAGAGATGAACAACTGCTTGCTGATGCTGTTGCATCGCAGTGCGGACTTTATGGCCGGCGTAAGCAAGCAGGCACCAGAATACACCTTGGAGGGACATTATTCCTTACGCATTTGCTACAATATAATGTTTGCGTTAAACGTTTGCACCTTGCACCCCTTTCCGACTAGAAGTAGATGGGAGTTCATCGTCGTGACTGGTTACTTTAGGGCCAGACATGCTGAGCAAGTTTCTCTAGACACTTTGAAATTTGAAACTTCGACTGCTCCATACTGCTCCAGCGCTGCATTGTGGACATTCAAGACATCAGGGAGGCGATGCGTATTACTTCAATGGAGAGTCTTTCGGTTGCAGCCAAGTTCCTTACCCTCATAAAGTTCCTCCCCCGCTCCCTGAAGTCAGTTGGACATGGGCAAAACTGTTGGGTGTGGAAGACGTGCTGGACTGTTGCGGCCTTCAGCAGTTGATTGATTCTGATTAGCTCAAAAAGCACAGCAGCCAAGGTTGGTTGCAAGATGCCATTGCAAAGGCTGAGCAATTGGGAGGTCAAATCACTGACGATGGAACAATCTCTATTGGTTTGTATACATTTTTCATGTCTTGGAATCGCAAAATGGTACCTCTCAAGATCATCTCGAAGATCTTGTTCGAGCTGTATTTTGCCATGGGCTGCCTGCAGTGGCATCTCATGACTGCCTAAATCACAAGCAAGGTACATAAGTTGATACGACATTGGTCCTTGGTTGCGGCCTTTCTTTTGATCGGGAGGCGGCAACAAGCTCAACGGATATCCCTGCAAAAGACAATGAGGACAGTACATAGCCCATGGCAGAGTTGTGTCCTTGTGCAAGAATGCAACGTTTGGATCACATTGCCATCCATAGTTCAGCGTTGCAAACAGTATAGTAATTCTTGCTTGAAGCATTGACTGAAATCATTGCTTTTTCCCTGTACCTTTAGCCTTGTGAGGATTCATTGACAGACTCGGCACTCTCTGACATGGAGGCAAATGACAAATGGGGAATACCATCAGAAACAAGCAAACAAGAGGTGTGGACATCAATCAAAACAAGATCATAGCCTTTTTCCTTTTGGTTACATAATGGCAAGCATCAGAAAACCTGAGTTGGGCCCCATCGTAGATGTCCTGTCTATTTTGGTCCCAAATGGGCATTTGTTAAAACGTTGAAGCCTGGGACCTTTTTACGTAGATGTCCAAGCTTCAAAACTCCTTAAACCTGGTATATACCCATCATCCTTTTCTTCAACTTATGTATATAAGTTATATAAGCAAAACCAAGCAGATATTTGCGCATGGAACGATTGAACTCGAACAGAGTCTTGGGTATGGCGCATAGTTAAGTCTAAGCTTTGCCTTCGCGCAAATGGATGGGAGGCACAGAATTGGATGCTGAACGTTTTATTTGTTGCCGATTCGGGGCGGGTAGTTTTACCATCTATTTCACAGCAGAAAAGAGGAATGGAGATGGTCGCAGGTGGCACTCGAAGATGGTCGGAGCCCAAGATTTGCATGTTTCGCTTTCCTTTTGCGGCACAAAGTTCATGGAGAATTGGAGGCAACATGGACAACCGTTCCCATCCCGTTTGTTTTAGTCCAAACATATTTGGATTTAGAAAAAGAAAAGGGGCGATCGTCAGATTACATGCAGAAAAGGTGACACTTGTCCTGATGAAAGGTGAGCCACCTCCAGGCAGACGGCCAGAGAAGCTCCTGCCACCGGCGAGAAGCACTCTAGCTAAACGTTCACTCTGTAGCCAGTCCGTTCTTGAGTTCTTGGAGTTTTGTTGTTGTCAAACACTCTAATCTAATCGCTATATCTCGATGATTTCGTCGTGTGTATATAGTGTATATAGTGTACATAAACCTTCATTAAAGATTTGTGTACATCAAGGGTCAAGGGTGCTTACTACTCAGGTGAAACTTCCTCAGGTGAAGCCTTCGAGGAAAAGCTGCAACCAACAACATTGCTGCAAGGCTCTTCCAGTCTCTTGCAGCAGCGTTTACGGTGGTAGTCTCTTCAAAACACAGCACATGGTTGGGAGCCATGTCTTCAAAACCATGTCTTCGAAACACCTGGTTATCTTTTGTATTAATTATACTTCAAAACACATTGTTCCGGCCTTTGTTTTGAAGAAAGCATGCAGGCATGGATCAGGTGGTTTCAGTGCTAATGGGCATCAGACAGGCGGGTCGCTCGATCTGTGTCCATGATGTGCGGGTTGTTGGCTCTCGCAAGTTCAACCGGTGAATATTTTTACATGTAATGTTTAATACATCACCTAGTAGCAATGACCTCCAACCTAGTAGCGATGGCCTCCAACCTAGTAGCATTGCACTGCGAATCCTTTAAGATGCGCTGACAAAGAGAGAATTCGTTGCATCGTTTGATGCTGACAGCGCTTGGTCTACACTTTTTGCGAGGCCATTGAGGTTCAATCTGAGGATGTGGGTCGCAGCATCGATTCCTTCTTGTCGCTGGCAGAGACCTTGAGGCCAACAATCATCTTGACCTCAAAGAGTTGACACAAATTCCCAACTGCTTGGATGGCCGGAATTCACAGGAAAAGTGGAGAATTGGGTGACGATCTGATTCTGGACGAAGACGAGTCGCATGACGTCAGCTTTGCCCATGGTTGGGACTGCCAAATGCCTCAGACTGCTTACTGTAAACGCCCAACAACAGCCATGACCTTTTGTGCCAGCTTGTCTCTTTGATCAAACTGTGTCAGAGTGATCCACATGTTCCACCTCACCACCTCTCATCTCTCATCCCACCTCGTGGATACATAGTACCTATCATAAACGAGTCAGAAGACGTTTTGAGGATCTTCGGATGATATCCTGACTTCTTGTCACCAAAGGGCCCAAAGGCCCGAGTGAGGCAGCGGTGTCTAACCATGTCAGCCGACCTCTAGAAAACCTCAGCAGCCTCAACCGAGTTTGGCACATACATACGTACGTACGTACATACATGCTTAGGTACGCAATGATACAACCCGACAACTGACTGTACAGTGCAGGTATAGCGGTATAGTTGCACCAAGGTTGGGTTGTGTCTTCCCTGGTCTCGCTTTGGCATGGTCGCGTAAAGATTCGTCTACAAGTCGACGGAGTTACAGTAAGTTGGGGATATGATTCAGTTGTGGAATGGACCAAGCTCAAAAGGGACTATGCGATTCCAGGGTGCAGGCACACTTAGATATAAGGTTCGCAAGAGCGTAGTCAGTTAACGACTTCCCCCAATTTAGATACTGCATTATATACCGAACTAGAGCGCTCAAAACCTTGATCTCAGAAATGGCCCTGCGAAGAACGGACAGGTGAACGAGTCCGCTGAACAATGCTGAACAGTATCTTTTAAATCGTCGATGTGGTTTGAAAATTGCAGGATCGTAACTCTGGCGTCCCAGAGATATATCACAGTGCAACAGATGCATCTTCGTTGGCTGGAGACATCTGAAGCACACTCCAGCCCCCTAATGGACTCTACATTTAAATAGTTAGTTAGATGTCGAATTAAGCAGTGAAGTAGGAAAGGTATTGAAGTGTGTGGATCCCTTAGGAACAGGGTTTGACACACACACACACAGCGCACACACACACAACACACACACACACACGCACACAACATTCATTATTTCATCATTCACATCACTCATCGTCATCCTCTCCTTCACACCTTTGGTCCCGCAGTCGCCCTCAGTCGCTCTCAGTCCCTCACTTGGACCACACGGCTGCTTTGCTTGTGTGTTCTTCCTCGGAACAGGGCTGCTTGTGCCAGCCTTCGTGCTTAGGCCACGTGCTGTTTGCAAGTGGTTCATGAGGAATGATTGCTGGGATCGAACTGTCCTCGAATCCATGACTTGTCGAAAAAGTCACTCTTTGCAACTTATTTTTTTGTTTGCAGGCTATTCTGATGTAGTGTCATTCAACTGAGATGAGCAGCTTTTGCCAAATCAAGAAAGACACCTTTGGCCAGCTTCAGGTGCAGATCAAGCAAGCTAGCTCACACCATGTATGCAGCCATTTCACTCTTTTGACCACAAGGTAGTCTCAGCTTGTGAAAGTAGCTAAAAAATAAAGTAATGTAACCTGCACCATCAGCGTCAAACGCAGGAGACCGAGCCCTTTTCTAAGAGCATCAAGCAAGCTACCTGTCTCATGGTAACAAAGGTCAAGCTACAACGAACGCAGATAAAAACACCATGCAAAGTGCGCTTATCCTATTGGCCGTGGCATGCTCAGAGGCAGCCATTGAGGAGCAGCAACTGGTTTGCTCTATGCAGTAGAACATATGACATAATGGACAATCTGTTTGAATAGCACAGAATAAGAGGAAGGCTAGCATGTACTGCTCTGTGACCTGCAAAAGATATATTTATCATTCTAGATGGTGTCCATATCCGTTTATCATTTATATAATATAGGCTCTTCTTTTTGGCCGGGCCAGGGTCCTCTTTGAATATTGCCATTGACACAGTTTTGCAGGAGGGCAAGTGGGGTTGGATCGACATTGATGCCAGCGCCTTGAGATTTTGTGGAGATACATGTAGCCCTTGGCCACGGTTTTCACCAACTACCTTATACAGGTCATTTTGGAATGCTCGGAAGGGAACGAAGCTTCAGTCAATCGGAATCATGCTTTGTCACAGAGTTTGTTGGAAGATGCCTTTCCCTCTGAGTCTAGCAATGTGGACCAAGTGCTGCAAGAAGGGCCGATCCTTGTGAAGCTTGTGACTCAGGAATGACTCTGTAATTGGTTCTGAATTTTCTCGGACTGGGTATTTGTTTTAGGTTCTTCGCTCCATGGTGCTCTCACTGCAAAGCCATGGCCAAGGAGCAAACATGAAAACAGTGAAGCGGAAGGCAGTCAGAAAGCTGTGTTCGTGTGCTCAGCCATTGAAGTCCTTCACCGTTCTTGGTCCGGTCACTCCCTTTTTGTGCAGTTTGGATAGAATTTAAAAGAAAGGTCTAAAGTTTAAAGAGTCTATATCCTGAAAAGGAAAAAGAGAGAAGTCCGTTCTTTGGTCCAGTCACTCCCTGTTTGTTCGCAATTTTTTTGACTTCTGAACTGGTGGCGTTGTTGTCAGAGGGCTGTTGCTGTAGGACTTTCACAAGCTTGCGCAAGAAGAGCTTCCTGCATGTGCCTCAATAAGGGTTGTGTCGGAAGACATGTTTTGTCCCAAGTATTGGCCCAAGTATTATACAGTCCAATAGTCAGCAGGACAGGAGTGCAACAAGTCTCCAGACCCCGGATTTCATGGAAAGCAGCTTCAACATTTGACTGGGCTTTTGGTGGCCCGAGGATGGCATGCGCATTGGGAGCCCTTTGCTCAGCCTTGAAGGGACATAACTTTGGATCACAGTGGGACGAGTCGTTTTTTTTCCCCAAACAGTGTGGGCACACTGAGCACACTGTTTGGGTTCTTACGGTAAGGGAAAGGCAGCTGATGCTTAGATCGCTGAAGCGCGCGGGCGTGTGCGGCTGATTCGCTGCTATTTACAGTACATTCATGAGGTTCTCGACATCGTCCATGCGCACTTCGACTGCGCAGGCTTGCGGAATCTGGTGGCTGGAGCGTGCGCTTGTCGCGACTGCGCTCTCGTTGTGGTGCCGTGCGCATTTTTGCACATGGTGATCACTTTTCGTGGCAGGCATCGTGTTTTGGTGCTCCAAAGTCGACTTTTCGTGACAGGTGGAAGGGATCGGAGGTGTTTGCAGTTTTCGTGGGAGGCGCAGCGCTTTGGACATGGTGGTGATCGTCAAGGAGCTCAGACTTCGTGACAGGTGCAGTGAATCGTGACTTCTGGATATGTGTCTCGTTTGCAGATTTCGTGGCAGGCACAGCGCTCTGTGACCCTCGATGTGCAGATGTCGTGGCAAATGCAGTTTGCAAACCTCAAAGTGCTGATTTCGTGACAGGTACAGCGCTTTGTGAACCTCGAAGTGCAGATTTCGTGGCAGGCGCAGCACTTGGTGAACCTCGAAGCGCAGATTTCGTGACAGGCTCAGCACTCTGTGAACCTCGATGTGCAGATTTCGTGGCAGGTGCAGCACCGAAGTGCAGATCTCGTGACAGGTACAGCACTTTGTGGACCTTGAAATGCAGATTTCGTGGCAGGCGCAGCGCTTGGTGAACCTCGAAGTGCAGATTTCGTGGCAGGTGCAGGACTTGGTGAACCTCGAAGCGCAGATTTCGTGACAGGCACAGCGCTCTGTGACCCTCGATGTGCAGATTTCGTGGCAGGTGCAGCGCTTTGTGAACCTTGAGGTGCAAATTTCGTGACAGGTACAGCGCTTGGTGAGCCTCGAAGTGCAGATTTCGTGGCAAGCACAGCACTGGGTGAACCTCGAAGTGCAGATTTCGTGGCAGGCGCAGCACTTGGTGAACCTCGAAGCGCAGATTTCGTGACAGGTTCAGCGCAATGTGAGTTTGCCGACTTGATGCGTGCTTTGGTGACTGTGCTCTCAGATGTGTGCTTTCTGGATCTCTGTCTGGTGACTCAGACTCCTAGACATCTAGACCTCTGTCTCCTGGCGTGGTTCCAGGCAGGTGCTCTGGTGTGTGTGCTCCCGCGATCTCTGTGCGCTCTGGTCACTGTGGGCAACACTCACACTGATCGTATAGCTTGCAGGTCTGTGCTCTCTGTCTCCTGGCGTGGTTCCACCCAGGTGCACTCGGAAACTGGGGGCAACTCACTCACTCATTCACTACCTTGATGTGTGCTCTCATGACTGTGTTCTGAGCTCCTTGGTCTTCTGCTCTCTCATTCGCACTCATAACGCCCACACTCTCTCTCTCTCTCATTCACAAGCATTCTTCCTTTCACTCACGCTCGCATTCACTGTCACTCTCACTCACTCTCACGCGCTCACTGATTCGCTCACTTGCTGTGTACTCTGGTGACGGTCTTCTCAGATATGTGATCGTCTTCCTTTCACTCACGCTCGCATTCATTGTCACACCCTCACTCATTCTCACTCGCTCACTGATTCGCTCACTTGCTGCGTGCTCTGGTGACTGTGTTCTCATGTGTTCTCTATGAGATGTGTGACCGTCTAGCTTGCAGATCTGATCTGTGTCTTCTTACGCTGACTATGTCCACTCTCACTCTGACTCTCTCGCTCTCACTCGCACTCACAACGCCCACGCTCACTCTGACTCCTACTTTCAGCCGAATTTACACCTCACCTTCTACTTCGTGCTCGCGGGTGCTACTCTCCCTACTTCCATGCACTTCTACTTTCTCCTCCTTCGTGCTCGCGGGTGCTTCACCTCCTCCTGCTACCACTTTCTGTGAGGACTGCGTATGATACACACTCCACACTGTTTGGGGTCTCTTGCCGGGATAATTTTTAAAATTCTAAATTTTCTTGGTGCTATTAGCTGCTACGCTTCCAGGAGTTGATTCCACGAAGAATCCCATACTGAACAAGCGCTTTGGAATTTTCGGCTATCCTACTCTTCTTATGTTGGTTGCTCAGCTTTTGCAATGCAGCGCAAGAAATAGTTTGCGTAGATGCGTAGATATTGTGTCCGAATGCGTGCACTGGGTGCACACATTTGAGGCTGACCGATGAAGGGAAAGACATGCGGAGGTGCAGCCAGACACTGGGGGCCGGTAGGATTTGAAAGCCACTGGCGCCTTTCACACACACGCAGTTACAGTGGCGATCGCTCATTCCAATCGCTTTTGGAGATGCTTGGCTGCAGAGTAGTTACAGTTAGATAATATTATATAGAGATGTGCAGAAATGTCACATTGGGAGATGTGCAGTTTCAAGGTTTGCCAAAGGAGGTTGGAGATCCGCTCCCTTGTCAATGCCTGAGCATGGCTCAACTTATACCTAAAAATCTAGGAACCAAATCATTAAAAGCGTGAGCCCTGCGTCCTAGGTAGTAGCTACTTAAGCTACTAGCTACCTAGCTTCTACTAGCTACCTAGTTACCTCTATGGCCGGCCTACCCCCCCGGGGCAAACAAAAACCAATCTTTTCGTTGCAGACTCCCGTGACTTGGCAACGTCTTCTTGAGGCACGATCCATCGAAACCCCCACGAAAGAAGTCCTTCAGTGAGCAAGTGTCTGCAAACTCAGTGCACTGCTACTTTGGACATCTCTTTCCAGTCTTTGCTGAGTTGGTGTGAAAGGAAACACGGTCTAAAGTTAAAAGAAAGACACAAGGTCTAAAGTCTAAAGAACAAAACAAAGTCTACAAAAAGAAACACACAACATACATCTAAAGAACAAACACTGCTCTCACCGTGGCCATCTCTTTCCTTGAATTTTTGCTGAGTTTGCCGTGTTTTGCAGAGATAACAGGCAGAGCCTCCCATGGACGGCCAGAGACCCAGCTCTATTTCTCGGACTGTCTTTTGACCATTGCCACGAAAGGTAACTTGGTGAGGGCTACTTTGAGTTTGCTTTGCGAAGCATAGGGGTTGCTTGAACAGCCTGTTCGAAACCAAGCAGTGAAATGTCAATTCTACGGGGGGGGCCCATCCCCCGTAGTGATATCTCATCTCATTTGGGGGAGTCAATACCTTGGGGACCCACCTGCCTGGCCAGCACCATTAGCACCCCAGCACCACCATGACCCCCGTAGCATGACGTCTGAGTCTATTCACTACCAGCAACAGCAATGCCCCTGCAAAGAGGTTGCACGCCACAGCTTTTACGCAATGCAAGCACTTCTACGGTGTTTACACAGCACGTGCGGCTTTGGGACAAAGCAGTTCTTCCTCACCACAGCTCTTGAGCACACCAGCGTCTACACGCCACGACTTTTACGCAAGCCAGCGTTCACATACCATAGCTTTGCAAACCAGCGTTGACACAACACCGCCTCTTGACAAAGCGGCGTTTACAAGCCTCCACCTTTCCACCACACCTGCTGTACCAATCTCTCCTCGCGACCCCGACCACTCTTATGTGGTGCACACCTTTGAGACATGACCGCGATTGCACAGTGGCACTAGGCAGTTTTTACAAACCACAACTGCTGTTACACAGCCCTGCGTTTAGACACCATCGTTTTTTCATTTTTCAGCACAAAGTAGTGTTTACGCTTCGCAGCTTCTACGCAAAGCAGTGCTTCTTACGCAGCACAAGGCTTATGCAAGACCATTCTTGCACACCACCATTTACACACCAGAGCTTCTACGTATCAAACCAGACTGCACTAGATGCCCTTCCAACCTCAATGTCTCCTCTTTCAACATTTTTATCTCCGATCACCTGGTAGATCTCTACCTTTCGTGTTTCCTTTTCTCAAATTTGATGATTCAATGCAGTATGTTTTTGTATCCATTTGTTGCGATTTCATGACATAATTGAGCCTTCGAAGATCATGCATGGACAGAGGCTGAAGGCCTGACAGAACCCCATGGGCTTCGCTTTAAAACAATTGCCAGCTTTCAGCACCGTACTCTTAGATACTTGTAATATGTTGCTCCTCATTCTTCTTGGCTTCTCACCAACCAGGTGAAGGCTGTTGGGCTTCTCTTCGTGGTTGGTTTTGGCCTTAGTATTCTGGTGCTTGGGGCTTGCAAAATTGCAGAGTATACAGTATATTATGACCTCACAAGCAAGTCCTTGCACCTCGCCTGTCTAAAGTATCGATTTGCCGGCTTGACTTGTGAACCAGCCACCATCAATGTCCAATTCAGCACAACTCTAAATTAGACACATTTTTTTGCAGCAAACGTAGCATTGAGTTTGACACTGCAAACGGCTCAAGGCCTACCACTTTCGATATTTGCCGCATGCTGGGACCTCAGAGTTGTTCCTGTAACAGGTCCAGCATTTTATAACAAGATAGTGGAGGTACAAGAGGGGCAGTCACATGCTTCTTCGGATGTTGCTGACTTTCAATATGTATTCACGTTGAGACGAATTCCAAACCCTGGCTCAGTTGTTACGCGGTCTTACTGTGCTCGTATTTGCGTTGTGTGCTGTGATTTTGATCTTTGTTTCAAGGCGGCTGCATGGGCATCACATTGCCTTCCAGTAGCTTAATCAACCATCAGGGTACTTGGTACTGTAGGGATCATTCATGTGATCACACATGCTTTGTATGGATATTGATGAGGGCTTGATACTTGCTGGTACCAGTTGTTTAGGATGAGGATGAGGATGCTGGTGGTGGTGGCGGCGGTGGTGGTGGTCGTGGTGGTCGTGGTGATGATGATGGACGTTTTGCTAGCTGGGCACAAGCTCCATGCTGCTAAGACACTACCACAAATGGCACGACATGAACAGAAGCCAACAAACCACCAAATGAATTAGAGAATCTGAACAAGATACATAGTGGTTGAAGTATTCTTCCAATCTTACAAGCTCTTGTGCCAGTGTCCAAAGTCCTGTTTGATTCACTGGAAACTAGAACCATGATGTCTCAGTTGAACTCTGTTGTGTAAATCTCAACCAAAAAGCTGGGTTGCATGCAAATGCCGACATATGAATCAATCTCAGAATGCACTTCAAAAGTCAATTGTTTGGAAAAAATGGGTTGATTCTTGAGCATATACTTTGTGTAAGAACACGCAAATTATGGACAGCTAGCAGTTTGTGTTTGCCACAGCAGTTCATTTGTACGCTGAGAATTCCCAACCATGCAAACGTTGCAACTTGCAGAGGCTGAGAGTTATGATGAGAAACTGGCAATCGACATGATATATAGGTACTCTCCTCCCCTCTCTTCATCCAACGGACTTGAACTTTCGGCTGTCTCCCACCACGGCATCCTGATGCGGAACGCTTTCAACCTCGAGATCGATGATGCAGTTCATAGTAAAGTTATCCATGTAGCTGAGTAGCTGCACGGAAGATGATGGACGCTCAAAGCCAAATCTGATCCACTTTGCTAGTTTGCTTGCTTGCATGTTTGGCCTGCAAAGGGAACTTGTTTTGAAGCTGTCATAAGTGGCTGACGAGTTTTTGAGGACACATGTTGCTCCACCTGAGCTCTCTGAGACGTGTGATACATTTCTACGAAAGTTGCCCATGTAGCTGAGTGGCATGAGTGGCTGCAGGTGATCGACATTTCTAGGTTATTCGGACCACTGCTTTGATGCTTGAACTACTGTGTTTTGTTTGCCGCTTGAGGCAGCCCTGCAGGTATGGTCACAGGTACCTGTGGTTTGTTCAGTCTTTTTGTCGCTTAGTCTTGCCGCATGATTCCGCATGATCACTGTGTTTGTGTGGCCCCATGTGGGCCCCATGTGTCACCTTTGTTGAAGGCCGAAAGGTGCTCAGATGAGTCATCCTCACTTGCATGCGAGTATATTAAAATAATATGTGTATATATATATATTTAATATGTTTATTTTAAGCATCAATGCATTCGGCTCCCATTTCCGACATGACTGTCGGAGGCTATGCTGTGTATGTGGAGAGGAAGCGCCGTGATGAGAAAAGGGCTGAGCGCAAAGCCGCTGCCGGGAAAGCATATTATATGTGTATATACACACACACATATATATATATATA